AAATATTTTAGCATTTTAAAAAAGTAAATCAGAGCTAAAAAAGTGCAAAAACGCAGGCAAATTTGCCTGCGTTGGTTAACATATTAAGGGATATATGTGCATAAATGAGGATACCTCTTTATACGCTATATTTCACATGTTGCTATGAAATTTAGTAACTATGCGACTTTGTTTGTTGAAGTTGCTTGTGGTTATGTGTTAGGTAAATGACCCTACTAGTATAAAATTCCGACTATTATTATGTATTTGAATTAGACATAACTGATCCAGACAGAATGCTTTGGCTTGGTTTTTTGTTATGAATGTGGGGTTAGCATTAAAAAAAATGAGTACAGGGCATTCATTCATTATAAAAAAATTTGTAGACATATAACTTTAACAGAATATATCAAGATGAGATACCAGACTTACAAAGCGTTATGAAAAAGAATATACATATTAAAGAAGCTAGATAAGAATAATCTAGATGGAATGTTTGGTGTAGTTATTGTCACAAATATGGATTAGTATTGAAAAGATAAGGATAATTTATTCATTGTAAAAATAAAAACCTGTAAACAGAATGTATATAGTTATTATTAGAATCTGAATTTATAAGATATTAAAGTTAAAAAGTAATATGCAAAATTAAAAGAGTTAGATATGAATAATCTAGGTGGAATGTTTTGGCATTACTCTTGTTATGAATATGGAATTGATGTTAAAAAGAATATGAATAAGATTGTAAAAAAAAACTGTAGGTGTAAATTACTTTAATGGAATGTATCAAGTTTGTTATTGTTAGGATACCCAAATTTAGAAAATGTTTAAAGCTTGAAAAGAAGTATACATATTAAGAGTTAGATGCGAATATTCTGGATGAAATATTTTGGCTTGGCTATTGTTATGGATATGGAAATAGTGTTGAAAAAAATGAGAATAAAGCATCATTTATTGTTAAAAAATCTGCAGACATGAATAGCTTTAATGGAATGTTTTTAGAAAACCAGAATTTATAAAATGGTTAAAGTTTGAAGAGGATATTGCTTTTCTTCTCATATTATTTTATATATAATACAAAGTTTTATTATTCCTACTCTGAAGAGCCAACACATCAGTTCAACCATGCCATTATCAATATTGTTAACCCAACATATTATTAAAAGCAAGGAGAAATCCGGTAAAAGTAATGTTAAGGTATATTGTAAAGCATGTGTTGAAGCATTAGGCGAGAAAAATGAAGTTTTTCTAACAAGACAGATAGAATAGTTAATCATTTAAAAAATTGAAATTTTTGCACTTGCTAATAATGATGATGTCTTAAAACAAAAACAACCTGGTAAATAAAATTTTATATTATTTTCATTTACTTCATGCTGCAGTATAAAAATAACATGTAAATTTTTTTTGTAGCTTCACCTAGTCTGTCATATGATACAGCATCTTCGCATAAAGTTGTACGATCTTCTTCTTATGGGCCACTTGATAATTATGTAATTCGACTATTGTCAAAACAAGATAAAGAAACATTTGAGATTCTTTTGCTAAGATTAACAGTATCTTGTGGATGGGCTCTTAACTGGGTTAACAACCCTAAAGCAAAAGAATTATTTTAATTTTTAAATCCCCAAATCAAGCTTCCAGACCATAGAATTCTTGGTGAACAAATTTTAAATGCTGCTGTTTCTAAACAAAATGAAACAATGCTCAATGAACTCTGTCAAGATAAAATTGTTATTATATTATCATTTGACGGATGGACGAATGTGAAGAATGAGCAATTATTAGGTATAATGATTACTACTTCAGAAGGCAACCTACATGTATGGAAGGCAATCGATATTAGCCTGAAAAGAAAATTGTATATTGAAGTAATTGAAAAAACCAAAGCGATGATAAATGAGTTAAAAAATATGGAAGTAAAGGTCTCTGCAGTTGTTACAGACAGTGTTCAAAATTAGTGTTCTCAAAGTTCTCATGAGAACACTATTATAAATTTGTGCACAGTGTAAATTTTTTGAGACTATTAAAATAACAATAGTGTTCTCATAAGTATATAATAAACAGCTGTATATGAAAACAGTATTTTGATCTGAAATTTCGAACACTGGTCACAGATAGTGCTACACCATATACAGCAGCAAGGTATAGTTTTATAATAAACGTTTTCAAGCTAAGCAGATTAGAGAATAAATTAATTAAATGATTAAGTTAATAAATAAATTTGATAAATAAATAAATTTTCAAAAAAAAATAAAAAATCATTCAATAACACGAACTCTCCCCAACGATCATTTAGCACAAAACTAGCAGAAGGCAAAAAGTAAACTCTACACTAAAAAGAAGCGACAAACACATCAACAAACTCAATAGAACATAGAAAAAGGCTTTAAACACAGGCCTGTACTAGAACAATTACTTGGTAGTAGTCTAAACAAGTGAGAAAAACAGTATTTCTCGATTAAAGAAAGCGCACAGTGACAAAACTCAGGCAAACCAGAGTTTAGCTCAGTATAGACAACAAAGCTGTACCAGTACAGTGAAAGAAAGCTAAACTATTTGTAAATCACAGTACATCTTCAGTTTGAAAGAACAAAGCAGTCAAATATCTTAGTATAAAGCCAAAACTCGATATTTTTCGTATGTTTGGAAAAATAGCGTTAACCCTGTAGCACTGATCCCTGGTGTAACACAATTACTGCAAACATCGACACGCAGCAACACAGAAGCTTCTACAAAAAAATTACATGTGAAATCACGTCAAAAACACGTAAAAACACGTATGACACATACTGAGTTTAAATTACATACCGTATTCCTTCGAAAATAAGCACCCTGGCCTGCATTATAAAAAATTTGGCCTGAATTATAACTATCTTGACCAATATTAAGTGCAAAAAAGGGGTCTTATTTTCAGAGGAATACGGTAATTTTACTATAGAATAGCTATAGCAATATTTGTTAATATGAGTCACGTGCACAAAATGAATACAGAGCAACCAGAAGTCACAGAGATAGACTGGGGCACAAGATAAACAAGTATAAGAACATTTTTAAAAAATCAACAGATGATTTTAACATGCTCAAAGAGGAGCACCTAGTAGAATGTCTTAGAAAAGATGATGAAATAGCGGCTTTTGTAGGAGCCGAGCCACAACTAATATGCTTGTTTAGGTGTTTAATTGAAACTTATGACTGGTTAGAGTATCTGAGAATCAAATATGGGGAGAACGCTCAACTAATAGACCTAATAAACTCAAATGAAAGTGAAAAAAAAAGGAGATATTAGTTAATCAGAAATGCGGCACGTCAGATTATGGTATACAAGAGAAATTAAAGTCGCAACAGTCCAAAACTAACGTCCAAACAAGAAAAAGAAGTGCGAGCCCAATAAAAAAGAAAAAGGAAATCAAGAAAACCTGCAAAAAAGAAAATGATATAGTCAAATTATTCGATACACCTAAAGTACACAGTAAGGAATCACTATCTGTTAAATCTACTAATAAGAATACCCAAGACAATACCCCGAAGATAGATATTACAGAAACTATAAAAGACAGAGGCAAAGATACAGAGGCTCCAAAAATCTGTTACACTCTTTGGGACATACCAGCAAAAGTTAAAGCAATGAGAGTGTGAAGATATTTGCATTTTTATAATCGAGTACAATTTAAACACTGGGAATTTGTAAGAACAAAGAAAGCTGTCTCCTTCAATGTAACTTTCTGGAACAAAAGAAGAAAAGCTTTGTTTACAAATGCCTGGGCTGTGCATTTTGAAGAGGGTAAGATGCTAAGGTTATCAGAAGGGATATTCGACAGGTCCATTCTAGATGAAAGAGGGAGATTTAAAGCAATTTTAAAAAATATCCCAAAGACAGCACTCGAAACTATGCTGCTAAAACAGTTAAAGCCAGTCAGAGCGCAAGCAGTGTATATTTCGCACAACCGGAACAAAAATCAAAGAAGCACAGCATCCGTGGTTTTTAAATCAGAAGAAGAGCTATTAGCAGCACTGGCAAAAAGAATATATTACTACAATACAAGACTAGAATGGGGTACAACAGACGGTATAAAAGAAGAATCCAACAGTTCCGCCTATAACAAAAGAGGAAGATCCAGGAATCGTTCACTTAAACAGGAAAAAGAAAAGGCAGCAGAGAGAAAAGAAAACTCTTATACTCGGAATAGAGATAGCAAAATCAAAGCAACCAACAAATTAGATCCTTTAGCTTCATTATTGAACAAAAGAAACAAAAATAAGGAGAACATAAAACCCAACTACAGAAACTACAATGAGGGGCTTCAAAGAATCAGCCAACTCATGAGGATACAGTTCAATCCATGTTACTGCAAATTATAGGCAGACTAGACAAGCTAGAAGGTCAAGACAGCTTATCTCATATAATACCCACAAGAGACGATCTTGCGAATCGCTTCTAAGGGCGCCCCAGGTACAACAATGAAACCCCTAGAAACAAACGAGGGGGTCGAGAGTAAAGGCGAGGTTGTGTCTCTGGAGAATGAAGGTAGATAGAGACATTTGGAAAGAAAGACAGATATGAACAATTTTATATGATGAACATTGGGTTTTACAATATCAATGAATTAAAAAATAACAAGAATAAGTCAAAAGCGATCATAGATTATGCAGGGGAAAAAAATTTGATATTCTTGGTTTGGGAGAAACAAATATTAGCAGCAAAGAAGGTTCTTTTGCAACAAAAGATAATGACACATATATTAGCATATGGGCAGACTCTGATGAAAAGAAGAAAAAAGGATCTGGACTTGGGGTACTAATCAGGAAAACATGGGAACAACATATCACATCAATAGTCAG